ATGGGCCCCCCCTCACGGCCACGAGCCGCGTGTGCGCCTTCAGACGATGCCGCGACGCTGCCTGCCGCCAGTGGAGGAGGAGGAGGAGGAGGAGGAGGAGGAGGAGGAGGAGGAGGAGGAGGAGGAGGAGGAGGAGGAGGAGGAGGAGGAGGAGGAGGGAGGAGGAGGAGGAGGAGGGAGGAGGAGGAGGAGGTGAGAAGAGGAGGAGGAGGAGGAGGAGGAGGAGGAGAGGAGAGAGGAGGAGGAGGAGGAGGGGGAGGGGGAGGAGGAGGAGGAATGAGAGGAGGAGGAGGAAGGCCGCTCGTCTCAGCTCGGCGCTGCCTCTCGGAGCCCCAGCACGGTGATGTGACCACCCCCGTGGTGGGCCGGCGGGGATTCGGGGTGGCCGCACGGTTGGGAGATGTGGGTCGCTCTCCTAGATGTATCGGGCGATTGGGGCTTCGGAGGTCCTGCGGACCGTGCGGTGACGGACTGTGGGATTCCGAGGTCACCACACGGCTTGTCACGGCACCCTCATGGGACCCCCAAGTCGGAGGATACTCAGTCCGTGCGGACTAAATTTCAGACGGAGTGATTGGTCTCTGTCCAGAGTTCGCCTCTCTTAGCAGGATGCTAAGTCCGTGTGGGGGGGGTAAAACCGCATGGAGTGTTCGGTCTCCGTCCGGCTTACTCCGACCGCCAGATCTCGCCTCTCCTGAGCAAAGCCTTCTTGGCGCTGGATTCCGCTGACACCTGCCCCAAGTTGACTCCTCCGTCGCTCAGTATCTCCATCCCCGCTGGGCCATGGACTCTCAGCCCCACCAACCCCCCACCCCAGATGGGGAGATGCTCCTCGAAGCTTGAGAGGAACAGCGTACATCCCGATCTGGGAGAGAAATCTGCCAGTGGGGCCCAGGCCACGCCAGTCGGGATCGGGATCCGTCCAACAATGCTCAGGAGACTGTTTTTGTTTGAAGGTCGGGCGATCACCCGGGTTATCGGGCTTGCCCCCCCTCCCGACTCGGGGGTAGAGAGAACCCCCAACAGTGACCCGTCGATTAGTGAACTGTCCGTTTTCGGTTCTCGAGAGGGCGCCGTGGCCGTTATTTTCCAGGCTTGCGCCCGCCTGGTTTGGGCCTCAGGTCGTTTTCACTAAGCCACGTTTTACTAAAGGGGGGTCTGTCCATCCTCGACCGATCCCCCCCCAGGATAACCTAACCTTGCCAGACGTGCAGGTCCGGGGCGGGGGGGCGCGGGCATATGCAGGGCTGCCCACATCGCGAAGGTTAGGTTATCGGAAGGCCCCCTCCTCCCCCCCCCGAGATCCGATATCGTGATTGTTGTCAATGCGCGGTCCCCGGAAGTCTTGACCCATTCCCCAGGACCGGTTTTTCATCCTGACGCGTTCTTTGACGGTCGCGAGGCCCGGCGAGGGCCCCTGGGAGCCGAAATCTGCGAGAAGCCTCCGTCCTGATTTTCTCAATGCGTTGGATCTTTGGCCCCCCCCGCCGCGATAACCCCGGTGATCGCCGATGCAACAAACAAATGTCTCCAGACCTGCCTCCCTTAGAGAGCCACATGCGGACCCTGCCCTTCTACCCCCCACGATTTCTGAGGGGGACGGGTGGGGTTCCCTTCGCTCGGGAGCTCCCGAAGGAAATGAACCCCACCCAGCCCCCTGATCAATCGTGGGGGGCAGGGGCAGGGTTCGCCTCTGGCCCCCTATCATCCCCCCCCCCCTTCCCCAGCGGCGGGGGGCCGGCGAAGCCGAGGCAGCGGCTGCGCCCGCGGGGGGGCGGACGCTGGCCGCGGCCGCCGCGCGGCAGCCCGGGTCGGCCGCCGCCGGGCGGAGGCCGCCCCCGTTCCCCCCCGGCCCCCTCGTGCGTCGAGGGGGGGGGGGGTCGGGGGCAACGATAGGGAGGGGAGGAGCGCCCATTCCTCGCCGAGGGGGGGTGGGAGGAGGAGGAGGAGGAGGAGGAGGAGGAGGAGGAGGAGGAGGAGGAGGAGGAGTAGGAAGAGGAGGGGGAGGGGGAGGGGGAGGAGGAGGGGGGAGGAGGGGCAGGAGGAGGGGGAGGAGGGGCAGGAGGAGGAGGAGGAGGAGGACCCCCTCCCCCTCCAACTTGTGGTGGTGGTGGTGGTTGAAAACAGGCCCGCCCAGGGAGGTGCGGCTCCGCTATCGGGGGCCTGTCGCTGAGCCACCACCGATGTACGGCCGATTCCAGGTCGATGCATCCCCCCCCCTGTGCCAGTCCACCCCTATCGTTGCCCCTCAGGGGGGAGCCTCCTTTGGGGGGCAGTCCCAGGGCGGTCTCGAACGAAAAACCTATCCGTAGCCGCGGCCTCGCGGGCCGGCCCCCTGGGCCGCGACCCCGCGGATGCGAAGCGTCGGTTCGCGGATGTCCCGCGTGGAACGTAGCAGTGCGACCGTGCATCCGCGGGGCCGCGCTCTGTCCCCCCAGTTAGAGCTCTGCGTGGCCCGCCCAGCTTTCCACCGGAGGAGGCTCGCTCTCGACCCGCAGGCCAAGAGAGTGTATCCGCGGGACCGCGCCAGACAGCGAGGGCGCGGAGGCGGACATGTCCGCCGCTCGTGGGGGGGGCGTGCACCGGCCCGCAGTCGCCCCCATTCATCGCCAAGAGGGGCCCTGGGGTAGCCCACCCCGCCCAGGGCGTGCGGGCGTGCTACCCAGGCTCTGTCGCCGATCTATCGGCGAGTCCCAGCTCGACTTGCCCCACCCCACCCCCCACCCACCCACCCCCTAGCCAGTCCCCCCTTTCACGTTCCCCCTCACCTGCGAGACTTCTCCCTGTCTGGTTGAGGATGTGCGTCCTCGTTGAGGATGCGGGCCAGGACATGGTCCCTGACAGCATCGGAGGGGCTGTATGTATGCACCACGTCGTTGGGCCAGTCCGGGAGCAGGGGCTTCTGGCGGAGTTTGGTTTGTAGTCGAGTCGTTCCAGCATCCCACCCACTGGGAAGTCGGAGCGTCTGTGACTCGAGCTCTCCTTAGCCGACCACAGCGACTCGGTGTATGCCTCGAACCCCTCCCACCCTTCAGGAACAACGCGCAGTCAGCCTCCCTGGGTCCCTCGCCAAGCGCTTGCCAATCGCCTCCCCAGTGCACGCGCGCGCACAGGCAGGAGACAGACAGGCAGGCAGAAACTGGTTACTCCAAGGCCGCAGTCAATGTATTCACGTGCAGTACTGAACTGGTGCCTCACGGCATGGGTGCAGCACGCGTGTGTTTTGAAATGTGTTCCCGCTCGCGTGGGCGGAAACCTCTCCCTCCGATAATCTGCTCGTCCAAGCAGTTTTGTGGCGTCAGTGTCTGCAACGCGGTATTGGAACCATTTCGAATGCCAGCTTGGGGAGCCACCTTGGGGGCACTGTTGGGACCTTCCGGGAGTCCTATGGGGGGTCTTGGGCGCCTTATGCCCGCCCCCTTCAAGCAGAATTCTAAACGCTTCGCGTATCCCCACCAGCCCGTCCAGAAACGATGTCCAGGCGAGTTGAGGTGATCAGGGAAGTGCGGCAGCAAAGAGGAGGACGGCCGAACCGTGCAAAGGAGTGAGGATGGATGGATGAGGGAGTGGGAAGAAGGAGGATGAATAAGATGAGGCGGAGGAGGAGGAGGAGGAGGAGGAGGAGGAGGAGGAGGAGGAGGAGGAGGAGGAGGAAGCGAAGGAGTAGGAGCAGGATGGAGGAACAGGAGAAGGAGGAGGGCAAGCACAAGGGCCAGAGGTCTCTTGGATGCCTCTCGGAGCCTCTTGGGGTATCTCTTGGGCGATTCTTGGTGGCCTCTTGGGCCGTCTTGGGGGTCTCTTGGCGATCCTGGGGGGCTCTTCGGGGTCTTGGGTGCCTCGGGGGGGGGGCCTCTTGGGGCCGCTTAGGGTCTTCTTGGGGGCCTCCTGGGGGCCTCTTGGGGGCCTCTTGGGGCCATCTTGGGGCCATCTTGGGAACTCTTGGGGCCTCCTGGGCGCATCTTGGGGCCATATTGGAAGATATCGGTCAACGAAGGGGGGTTCCTGAATTACGCCCCCCCCTCAGGATCACCCAAAATCGCCTCATGGACCCATCTTGGAGCGTTCTTGGAGCGCCCTTGAGCGCTCTTGGGGCCGTCTTGGGGCTCGGTTGGTCACTTCTTGGGGCCCTGTTGGGGGGCCATCTTGGAGCGATGTTGAGGCCTCGGATTGGCATCTTAAGCGCAAAAGCGATAACGCCAACAACATTGATTTTCCCAATGGTTTTGAAGCATTTTGGCCTCGTCGGGGCATCACTGGGGAGCTCTTTTGGCAACTCAGACCCGTCTTGGAGCGGTCTTAGAGCATCTTCGGAGCCATATCGAGGCAGCTCGCGCTATCTTGAGCCATCTTCGACGCTATCTTGGGCTCTCTGAGGCCCTCTTGGAGCCGTCTTGGACCATCTTGGACGCTCCGACACCTCGCGGACCCCCCTGTCCAGGTCCATGGGGAGGGGGTAGGGGGAGGGTAAACCCGTCCCCGAAGGGGAAGAAGGAGGGGTGGAAGAGGAAACTCCCTAAACCACCGACGCCCAGAGGGCTGGTGGGATTTGGACCCAAGGATTGGAGGGATAACGGGAATGAGGGACAGCCAACCATCTAACACGCGATCCGACCCCTGGCGAGCGAGGTCTGGCGAATCTCCTTTGGGGATAGTTGGTTTGATTGGTTGGGTACCCTAGAACATGTCCATCCGCATCCTTTCTCCTCGCTCGTCTCTTCTCTTTTCTGCGCTATGCCCCTCGTTTTCATCGTCGTTCTCCTCTCGGAATTCGCGTGTCCTATTCCCAATCCCCCTTTTATGTATCTTCTTCCGTTTATCATCATTGGCATCTTCCTCGTCCGTTTTCTCTTCCTCGCACTTCCTGCCAACTCGAATTCTAACCATGATTTCTCACTCTGCCCCATCCTCTATGTTCCTCGTTTTCCATCCGATCAGAGGCTCAATGCCATGGGCTCTCTCTGTCGCCGCACTCCCCGTCTTCAAGCCGCCCGACCTGGACA